TCTAAGTTTAATCACATGGGATTGTTTCAAAGTTTCTATCTTTAGTGATATTTGTTTTCTTGAAAGTTTTTTATACTTGTTATCTCTAGTGATTAACATTTTCACTTTGCATTTGGCTGATTTTCAGTGATTTGTTTGGTTGTATGTTGAACAGGGTAATCCCACATCGGCATTCTTGTCCAGCAGCATTTAGACTATACATGGAACTCCTAAAGAGGCATGCTTTCTCACTCAAAGAGTGCACAAATTTGCCAAACTATCACAAGTGAGATTACTTGCAACGTTTTGTTCACAAACTGTTAAAATTTTGCAATAATTCAAACTTTCAAGACACCGTTAGTCGATTTTACGAAATGCAAACTTATAAAACGATAGCAATTCTTTTTAATGCAGGACAATGAATTCAATAGACAAAGTTCTTGACTTATCTCAGATATTTGGCTTGCAAGAAAACGAAGCTAGTGCGCAGCTGGTTCTTTTCGTCTTTTCCACTGTCTGGCGGTTAGTCGATGCAGCACTAGATGACGAAGGATTACTTCAACTTACAGAGAACGAGCCTAAATGGCCTGTAAGACCACAAGATATGGAAATAGACAATGTATACGAAGAGAAGAGAAAAGAATACAGCGAGATATTGCAAAATGTTAACACAATCATGGCTGTTGAGTTAATCGGCCAGTTCTTACAAAACAAAGTGACTTCTAAGATTCTTTACCTGGCACGACAAAACATGTCAGAAACCGTAATCCTTTTTACATTTTTCTTGCACATTTTATACATCAGCCATGTAATAGGAGCGTTTTTACGTCTTTTCTTCTCAGGTGCACGCACTGGGAAAGCTTGATACAGCGAATGCAGCTGCTTCTAGAACATTCATCCGCTCTGAGAAACTCGAAATGTATTTCACCGGAAATTCTTCTGAAGTTAATATCGGACACTCACAAGATTAAGGTCCATCCAGTTGTACAAGCCACGCCCCTCGTTAACTCTGCTGGTCTCTGTATCGGGACTAGTCAATCTGCTCTTTGGCTTCCTCTTGATATGCTTCTAGAAGATGCAATGGATGGTTCACAAGTCAATGCCACAAGCGCCATAGAAATTATCACAGGTAAAAAAGAAAAAGTACATTTTTTTTTCTTAAGTTCTATCGTTGTACTATTGCCTAAGAGATTGTCATATTTATGCAGGTCTAGTTAAGTCCCTTCAAGCAATTCATATCACTTCTTGGCACGCGATATTTCTAGGACTTTGGATGGCTGCTCTACGCCTTGTTCAGAGAGTGAGAAAAAAATATAAGCTGTTTCTTATTTTTGTACTATGAAATATGAAAGTTCTTGTTTAAAAGAAAATAGCATTTACCTTATAGGAGAGGGATCCTATTGAGGGGCCCGTGCCTCGTTTGGACACTCGTCTGAGCATGTTGTTGTCAATCACAACTCTGGTAGTTGCCGATCTTGTTGAGGAAGAGGAAAGTGTTGCAGTAGATGAGTTTGAATACTGTCTGGAAATCAAGCATCGGATTTCCGGGAAAAGGCGTATGGATTTGATATTCAGTCTTCAGAATCTACATGAATATCAAAGCTTGCTAACTCCACCGCAGTCAGTCATTTCTGCTGCTAATCAAGCTGCAAGTAAAGCAATGATGTTTATATCTGGCATCACTGTTGGTACTGCGTATTTTGATTCCATCAGCACCATGGATATGCCAATTGACTGCTGTAAGTAATACGATGTTGATAGTTTGGTGAAGATATTTGCGGGATAAAATAGTTCAGCAAAAATGGAATCTGAAATCCGATTTTTATTATTTTGCAGCTGGTACCTTGCATCATTTAATAGTCGAGTCATGTATAGCCAGGAATCTTCTGGATTCTTCTGCTTATCTCTGGCCAGGTTACGTAAATGGGCATATTAACCAACTACCCCACAATGTTCCTACTGAAGTTCCTGGCTGGTCATCATTTCTGAAAGGAGCATCTCTAACTCCAGTAATGATCAATGCTTTAGTCTCTACTCCTGCGTCAAGGTAAGCACAGAAATTTAAAACGTTTAAAGAAATAGATTGTTTAGAATTGAAGTCAGTCTTGCAGTTAAATGATTTTTCATTTTTATTTCTGTAAGCACTGCTTAATGATTTTTTTTCGAGAGTAAAGCAACTGAATTCGAGCTCATGCATCTAATGGAAGCTTTGCAGAGATCGAAAAGGTCTTTGAGATTGCATGCAAAGGATCAAATGATGAAAGAATAGCCGGGGCTACTATTCTTTGTGGGGCCTCATTGATTCGTGGATGGAATATTCAGGTAGTGAGACATTAAGTGCTGGTACTTTGTTTTCTCCAAACTACGTCGACAAGGTTTTTAACGGTGTATAGCTTTTGATATATATGCAGGAACACACTGTTTATTTCATAACTAGATTGTTGTCTCCACCCGTTCCGGCCGACTATTCCGAGAATGAGAGTCACTTGATAAGCTATGCGCCCATGCTCAATGTTCTCCTTGTGGGAATAGCACCAGTTGACTGTGTTCAGATTTTCTCCCTCCATGGTTTGGTATGTTCACTTTTACGCTATATTTATCAACATTATATGTAGGTTCTATTTTGCGATGAGCCCTGATTTATTTACAATCGAAATAAAAGAACATGTAAGATCAAGAAATGCTTCAAATATAGTTCTACGATCCATGAAATGTTTATGAGGGAGTGCGAAAAAGCGATTCACCTTCATCTAATGGAGACATTATCTTCAACAGGTTCCAGAGCTTGCTGGTTCATTAATGACAATATGTGAGGTTTTCGGTTCATGCGTGCCGAATATCTCATGGACCCTGACCACAGGAGAAGAAATATCAGCCCACGCTGTGTTTTCAAATGCTTTTGCTCTTCTTCTAAAGCTATGGAAGTTCAATCACCCTCCTGTTGAATATGGCGTAGGAGACGTACCTCCAGTAGGATCCCAACTCACTCCAGAGTACCTATTACTGGTGCGAAACTCCCACCTAATATCTTCCGGGAACTCACTCAAGGATCCAAATCGAAGAAGACTTGCACGAGTAGCATGTTCTTCATCTTCGAAACCCATATTTGTGGACTCATTTCCCAAACTTAAGGTGTGGTATAGGCAACATCTGGCTTGCATAGCTTCTCCTCTCACCGGTCTTGTCAATGGTACTCCAGTTCATCATACTGTTGATGCCTTACTTAACATGATGTTCAGAAAAATAAACAGAGGTAACCAGTCTGTGGCTAATGTTACATCTGGAAGTAGTAATTCCTCTAGACTTGGAAGTGAAGAAGGTTACCTAAGGCCTAAATTGCCTGCTTGGGATATTCTTGAAGCCGTTCCTTTCGTGGCTGATGCTGCTCTTACCGCATGTGCTCATGGGAGATTGTCTCCTCGTGAACTCTGCACAGGTAAGTTTTTTAATTGCAGTCTGATAAATATCTATCAATATGCATTTGGACATCCAGTTTTGAGCTATTCGTGAATGAAGTGGCGAATTCCACCAATCTCACATTTCTGTTCTCTATTTCCTGCAACCTATAAAAGATTAAATATAAAAAAAGACGAATGTTTTGAATGTGATGTTTGAAGTTTAATCTGTAGTTTAAGATTAAGAATGTCAAGGTGCAGTTTACCTTAATGATTCGCATTGTTGCACAATAGGGCTGAAAGACTTAGCTGATTATCTTCCTGCAACTCTGGCGACCATTGTCAGTTACTTCTCGGCTGAAGTGACTCGTGGAGTATGGAAGTCAGTTTTTATGAACGGGACCGATTGGCCTAGTCCAGCTGCTAATCTCTCAAGTGTTGAGGAACAGATAAAGAAAATATTAGCTGCCACCGGTGTGGATGTCCCCAGTCTTGCTGCAGGTTTTTTGCTTTTAACAAGACAAGTCTATTTGTAAAATGAATTTTCCAATCTCTCAAACTTCAACACCTCGCAAAACACTTATGCAGGAGTAAGTTCTCCAGCAGCACTTCCATTGCCTTTGGCTGCATTTGTGAGCCTCACAATAACCTATAAGCTCGATAAGGCCTCCCAACGTTTTCTTGATCTGGCGGGGCCCGCTTTGGAGACCCTTGCTGCAGGTTGCCCGTGGCCATGCATGCCGATCGTAGCTTCTTTGTGGACTCAAAAGGCGAAGCGGTGGAGCGACTTCCTTGTCTTTTCTGCTTCTCGCACAGTCTTCCTACACAGCAACGATGCTGTTGTCCAACTTCTCAGAAGCTGTTTCAGTGCCACCCTTGGCTTGAACACTAGCTGTTGCATCTCGAGCAATGGTGGAATCGGAGCGCTTCTTGGCCATGGATTTGGATCCCATTTCAACGGTGGGATCTCTCCCGTTGCACCGGGGATCCTATACTTACGTGTCTACCGCTCAATTAGAGATGTCATGTTTCTAAGAGAGGAGATAGTTTCACTTCTCATGCAAACAGTAGAAGACATAGTGTGCTTAAAACCGAAGAAATCCAAATATGGGCATGCTTCTTTTGCTGCAGCTTTAACTGAGGTGAAAGTAGCAGCATCTCTGGGAGCTTCTGTAGTGTTCTTAACTGGTGGATTAGGGCTGGTACAGTCACTATTTAAGGAAACACTTCCATCTTGGTTTATGTCCATTCACAGGTCTGAAAAAGAAGGGAATAGAGGTGGAATTCTTCCGATGCTCCGAGGGTACGCACTCGCGTATTTAGCTGCTCTTTGTGGAGCTTTTATTTGGGGTATCGACTCATCATTATCAGCAGCTTCTAAACGAAGGCCTAAAATTCTTGGATGCCACATGGAATTTCTGGCTAGTGCTTTAGATGGAAAGATTTCGGTTGGCTGTGATCCAGCCACTTGGCATGCTTATGTCTCTGGTTTCTTGAGTTTAATGGTGAGATGCACACCTACGTGGATATTGGAGTTGAATGTCGAATTGTTGACTAGACTATGCAAAGGACTGAGACAATGGAACGAAAATGAGCTTGCTCTTGCTTTGCTTGGAGTAGGTGGACATGGTACTATGGGCTCAGCAGCTGAAATGATCATCGAAACTGAGTTTTAACTTCAATTCTTTTTTTTTTCCTCTTTTTTTTTGTAGATCAACTAGAATGGCTTGTACAGTAAGTAAACACATAGCTACTAATTCTTGGATAATCTATTTTGTAAGAGAAGTTCTTACCGTTACATAATACCACTATAACCAGGTGATCTCGCGAGTTTTTCACTTCGCATTTTGTTTCGCACGGAAAAAGCATCGTCCCATCTGCCTGCATCTGCGTAAAGGTTGGAGAGTAGAACTCTACTAGGACCATGTGATGGTTCCACCTTTGCCAAATTTTCAGCAGCTCTTTCTCCTATATCTGTATTGCCATGCATTTTACATGCAGCCAATAATGTACCCCATATGACAACATCTGCCTTCATAGGCATGCTTTTTACAAATTCCTCTGCTTCTCTTAATCTTCCAGCTCTGCCGAACAGATCCACCATACATCCATAATGCTTGATGTTTGGTTCTAAACCGTATACAGTTTTCATGTTCTTGAAATGCTCTTCCCCTGCTTCCACCAAACCGGCATGGCAACACGCACTCAAGACTCCGATGAATGTAATCGAATTGAGATTTATGTTTCGCCTCTGCAATTCCGAGAAAATTCGTAAGGACATTTCTGCATGCCCGTGCATTGCCAAGCCACATATGATTGCATTCCAAGGCGAGACGTCTCTCGTTTCGTCTCGTACTCGATAGAACATTTCTAGAGCCAAATCGACGTTAGCACATTTCGCGTACATATCGATGATGGCAGCACCGAGATTGTCGCTAATCGGTATCGAGTTTCTATCAATGTAGTCATGAGCGCGTATTCCTTCATTCAAATCGCCCAAACTAGAAATTGCAGAAAAAACACCAATCATTGTAATTTCATTTGGCTTGATTCCCTTAGCCACCATTTCGTGAAAAAGTTTGATAGCCAAATTAAGCTGCCCGTTCTGCGAGTAACCAGAAATCATCGAGCTCCAAGAGAAAACATCCCTTTCAGGCATCATACTAAACAGATGACTAGCATCATTCACCATTCCATCTCTCATCAGTCCTGCTATAAGGGCATTCCAACAAGCTACATGATCCTTATTCGCTTCGTCAAATTGCAAACAAGCAAGTTCGATTTCTGCACAGGCTCCATAGAAATGAATCAATGTTGCCTGCATGAAGTCGAAACAATTGAATCCCATTTTCACCACTAAAACATGAAATTGCTGACCCTCAATTAACTTTGCAGCTTGTCCACAAGCGGAAACTATGTCAACAATCATAACTTCATTAGGGCACAATCCAGTGTACCTCATTTCAGAATAAAGTGCCAAAGCCTCTCTCAATCTCCCCACCTGCACATAACCATCAATCATTGTTCCCCAAGAAACCACGTCCTTTAAAGGAATCTCACCAAATAGCTCTCTACCCAAATCAACCAGCCCCGCTTTCACGTAACCATTCAGCATCACATTCCAAGAAACCACATTCTTTTCCACCATCTCATCGAAAACGATTCGAGCATCACTAACACACGAACTCATGCAGTAAAGGAGAACTAAGTTTGTCGAGACAATAACGGGCAAATGAAGACCAAGTTTCAAAACCAACCCGTGCAAAAGCTTCGCACTTCTCTCATCAGCATTGACACGTGCATAAGCCGAGATAACACTAGCCATGGTTACTTCTCCTGGAACCACCCCAGACAGCCTCATCTCTCTAAAAAGTCGAATTGCATCGCCATAGTACTCGTTCTGAGCCAAACCCATGATCATAGTCGTGTACGATACACAATTTCTCAGCGGCATTTTCACAAACAGCTCGTACGCATCATCCAGACGACCATATTTTACATTCCCGGCAAGCATTATGTTGCATGATACATAATCCAACTTATGGGAGCTACCGAAAATCGATTTCGCACATGAAAACAGACCCAATTTAGAGTACATGCTCATCAAGCTGTTTTGTATGTAGACATTGGATTCTAGCCCAGATTTTAGCACGAGGGAATGCAGTTGCTGCCCATGGGAGATTAACGAAGGGGATGATGAGATGGATTTGAGTGCGGAAACTATTGAGGATTCCAATAAATTGGGTTTCCTGAGAAGGGTTTGGAAATCTGGAGGGGAAATTGTGCAGAAGCATTTGAATTTTATTTGGATTGAAAATTGCAAGATTTTGGCATTCAGAGCAGTAGTTTTCATTAGATGCTAGAGAGAGAGAAGAATGTGTGCTTGTTTTACCTAAAACAATTAAACTAAACAAAATTACAAATATGTAACATTAAAAATTTGTGTAAAGAACAATTATTAGTGACTATAATTTAAAAAAATTAAGACATTTGATGATATAAATACTGTAAAAAAATATTATTTATTTTAGGGTAAATTACAACCATCCCCTGAGGTATGGTCAAATTACGAGAACCCCTCTCCTGTTTGGGTAATTACAACCACCCCTAAACTATAAATATTCTTACACGTCCACCCTTGTGGTTTCAAATTTAGTGGGATCTTCTAGATTATATGGAATATTCTCAATTTTGGACCCATTGTATCACATTCGAGCTCTACATTTTAAAGCTAGATGATCATAAAATGTGTTTTATGGCTTGTATATATCATATTGTGGTGCATTAGAAACTGTATTTTTGCACAAAACGAGTTCAAACCATAGAACATTCCACGAAACCTAGATGATTATGTTGAATTTGACACCATAAAGGTGGAGATGTAAGAAGATTCATAATTGTGGAATAAATGTAATTATCCAAAATAGAAAGAATTTTTTTCATAATTTAACCATACGTCAGGGGTGGTTGTAATTTCCCCTTCATTTTAAAGTTGATTTCTTCCATTTTTTGGGGGCCATTTTAACACGTACTACTATGTGCTTTGTAACAAAAGTTTAGGCATAAAGAAGACATTTAATTATTTAAATGCTACAAAAATATGGTAAATTACGGCCACCTCCCTGGGTAAGGTTACATTACGAAAAACCCCTCTTGTGTGGATAATTACAACCATCCATCAACTATGAATCTTTTTATGCGTCTGGTGTCAAATTCAACAGAATCTTTTAGATTTCGTGGAATGTTTTCTAGTTTGTACTCGTTTTGTGCAAAAATGCAGTTTCTGATAATTACCTCTCGAATATGGTAAAACAAGTAAAAACTGGAGAACATTTCACATAATCTAGAAGATTTTACTAAATTTGACACCTCAATGGTGGCGTGTATTCATAGTTAAGGAGTGATTGTAATTATCCAAACATAAGGAGTTTTTTTCGTAATTTAACCTTAACTAAGGGAGTGGCTGTAATTTTACCTATTAGTTATTTAAATTTAGGGTTGCATTTCACCATAGCAGATAATATGTTAACCATAGAAAAAGAAATCTCAACATTACATAACAGAGTACTAACTAAACTCAGTTAATGCAGCACCAGCAGAAAGATCAACTGCAAAGAACATGCACATGCCTGACAAAAAACAAGATTTCGAACGATAATGAATTTCTGCCACACACATAGAAATCAAAGCACAGTCAAATAGTCGTAGTGTTATACTTGGGAATTTCGATTCGCTTATTCCCAGATAACGTGGTGGTTAAGATTTTATGTTTCTATGTTTCTATGTAAGGACAATAATCGAGAGTCGTCACAAGTCACAACTATCAATATTGAAACGAATGGCAAAATAAGAAAACGGTTGATTAGATTCCAAGTGAGAAAATCCGCGCCCAGTCAGCGTTTATCTCCTCCACCAGTAAGAGCCGGGTTCCTGAATATGATGACATCATATATAAAAGAAAATTGTAAGCATCGGGCCGTTGAAACTTAAAGATTTATAAATGCAGAATTGATCCAGAGATAAAGCTTCGTTCGGAGGGATTTTGATTGGTTAATTTGATTTCAAACTACAAAATATCGATAATAATAAGCAATAGTAGTAATTAACACGTACATAGAAGAGAAACTTGAACAATTAAAACCCGAGAGACTGTTTCTGCGACTAGAACGAATTATAGTCGACTATTGAATGTCAAAACAATAAAATATCTAAACGAAACTGCCAAGTGAAAAACGTTATGTTGCTAAGTGAACTTCAGACAAATGTGTGTTTGCTTCGATAATTAGGGAAAGAAAGCAAAGCACGTAATCCAGAATCAAGAACTTGACAAGTCGAAGGTATTGAACATCGATTTTTCACTACCTCTGTTTAAAACCCGTATTGGATTCATAAGATAGATCCCAAGTAATCAATCAAGAACTAAAATTCGCTGTCGACGTTAAAATCAGAACGGTACTATATCAAGAAATTAAAGCCTAACTATATCTCGAATAACGAGAAACCCGTATAGATTAAGAGATATTTTCGGTTCTTGAGAATTGTTATGGTCTAATAAAAGTTGTTTTAGCATCAGACAATGAACTACGGTGGATTTATCAAAATCTATATATACTCGACAATCTAATAACATTCCATGATTTTTGTGAATTTGCTATTCAATCACACGTAACGACAATTTGAAACTAAAACCGACTGAGATGTATTTCACAAAAATTTAAGTACCAATAAAGCAAAGTGTATCAAATAAAGCCAAAAACACTAAAAACGAACCGTTATCGCAACACATTCAAAACAACTAAACAAGTCGTTAACAATACCAAAATTCAATTCCAATCAGCATAACATATTTGCAATCAAGAATCGAAACCAGAATCTTTTAAATTCTGCGAAACCCTTGGATTAACTACTCATAACTTTGAAACCAAAACCAACTGCAATGCATTTCACGGATTCGACACGATCGAAACTAAACCAACTCAGACACGATTTCAAAGTTTAAATCCCCGTTAGCATAACACACTTGCAATCAAGAACCGCAACCAAAACTTTTCAAATTCAATGACACCCTTGGATTAACTACGCATAACTTCAAATTGAAACGAAAAACGAATTGCAATACATTTCACAAATTCAACACGATCGAAACTAAAACAAGTCATGCACAATTTCAAATTTAAATTCCCATAAGCATAACTCACTTTGTGATCAAGAATCACTTGGATTAACTACACACAACTTCAAGTTGAAACGAAAAACCAACTGCAATGCACTTCACAAAATCCAACACAATCGAAACTAAAAGAACTCATATTACAGTTTCAAATTTCAAATCCCCATTAACACATACCACACTCGCAATCAAAAAATCGAATTCAATGAAAAAAAACGTAAAAAAAAAAAATCACTCACTTCTTGTGGCGACGGCTGCGTTTAGACCCCCATCCTTCGAGCTTCGAAATCGGGCACCCACATTTGTCACGAAACAGCAGCACAGCACGCCCATTAGGTGGGGCCATCTTCTTCAATTCGGCACGTAAACACTCGTAATCAGGGTTATCTTCACTCCCCCCTTTCCACGGCAACTCATTCACATCTCTCACCGCCTTATTCCCGTCACCAATTCGCAGCAATTCCTCGCCCTGCAGCTGCAAATCGAACTCCATAGCCTTCTTCAACCCCCTGCAGCCTTTCCTCCCACATTTTCTCGATCTGTGACCACAGCAGATCTCGAACAGAACAACAAACGCCGCGAAGGAGATAACGAACAGAGCGAAGAGGATCAACTGAGATTGGGGGTTTGAAGTTAAATGGTAGTGAATGTGAGAAACGACGGTGGAGAAAGGGGGCAGAATTAGGGATAGCGAGTGGAAGATGTAGGAGAAGTAGGAGATGATTAGGAAGGTGCCGGAGAAGAGGACGAGGACGAAGATGAGTAGGTCGAGGGTGGCGGAGGGGGAGTGCCGGCAGAGGGAAGGGCGGGCGGAGGGATTTGGGTGGTGGGGCGACGGGGTTTTGGGGGCGGCGGGTTTTTTTAGGGAGGAAGAAGGGGACATGGTGGTGATAGAGAAGAGGTGGTGATGGCGCATGTTAGTGAGAGAAAAAATTGGGGGTTTAAGAGGGAGAGAAGATGGAGCGGCGGCTGAGGGGCGGCGGAGGGTGTATTGCAGGTGGAACTGCCGCGGTGGTCGGTGGCCGGCGCGGGGGGAGTTGCGTAATGTGTGATTTTGTATTTATTTATTTTTTCTCTATAAATGTGTGAATTAATTAAAGGGGTAATGGCAAATAGGCCCATGACAAGGGCATTTAATTAAAATAGGGACTTGTTAGAATATTTCTTAAATAAATTAGGGATGTTTTTTTTTTTGATAAGAAAATTAGGGATGTTTAATTTATACTTAAATCACGCTATGTAATATGTATAATTCGTTATATTATAAGAAAATAAATGGGTTTTTTAATTTTGGGTAAATAGCATTTAAGGACCCTGTAATTTGAACTTTGCGCGCATCACTCTTTGTACTTTTAATATAAGCACATAACCGCCTTGTGTGGGGTTGTGTGTTTATATGAAAATACAAGGGGGTCAGATGCATATATTGAAAGTATATATGGGGTGATGCGCAGAAAGTTCAAACCACATGGGGCTTAAATGCTATTTACTTCTTCTTTTTTCAAGTGGTAATGACTAATGAAGCTAGAAAGATACTATGGAAACCATTATATAACTAGATTGTGTTGGAAATAATAATATGAATGAAAATTTAGTAGTGGTAAAATTAATGTAAAAATTTATCAATTTTAAATTGGGAAAATTACAGTTTTTACCCCTTAAGTTTGCACTGATTTCCCCATGTTCACAAAAAAAATATTTGGTCCCTTATGTTTTAAAAATTCAACACTTTTAGTCATTTCCGTCAATTTTCTGTTAAAACTAACGGAATCAAGCATGTGCCCATAACTGCCTTAACTAACGGGTAAATTGACGGAAATGATAAAAAAAGTTAAATTATTGGAACATGAGGGACCAAATGTGTTTTTTATAAACATGGGGAACCAAATATGAAATCGGTGCAAACTTGAGAGATGAAAGCTGTAATTTCCACATTTTCAATTGTACATATTTGTTTTGTTAGAGTAGTCCGGTTTCGGTTCCGTTTTGGTTTTCAACTCGAACAATATCAGAACGTTAAATAAATCTGAACAATATACTTCATTCGACGTGATTCGTTTACACCTTCGTTTCGCATATCTCAAAAGGGTCCCCAAAAAACAAAAGAAACATAAATATTACATCAAATTTCAATATGATGAAGTTTTTATACGTATAGGTATCATCCAATACAAAACACTCCAAACCAAATAAGCTACAATACATTCAACTATACATACATACCTTTTTTTTTAATACACATATCCACCTGATACAATGACAAATATAATAACAATTTAGTAACAACTATACAAACCCCAGTTATTATTTAAAAAAAAAAAATCAAGATTTCAATAAAATTCGCGATCGGGTAAGATCAGAGGAGCGATGAGTGACCAAACGTAAAGTCCAGCTGTCACCCACTCAGTGCAAATCCGAACCCAAACCGAAGTCCAACCCACGTCTATAAGCTGAGGATTTTCGGAATCACTGGTCCAGCCCGATAAAAGCATGGCAGAGTACATGCTGGCTAGGGCAAATATGAGATGAAAGAACATGTAAGAATAAGTTACTGGCTTATTTTCTGTTTCGTTTTTTCCTTTACCAGATTCCAGCTCATCACCCTCGAGAAGAGGTTTCTTGCCACCTGTCGAAATAGAATGTTCTTGAACAACTCAGTAATGAAAGTCGACTGTAAATACTAAATATGGTGTCTTGACTCTTGAGTATTATATGGGGTAAAAAAAAGAGGTTTAAAGAAAGGATGAATTTAGATGGAAGGATTTGAGGTGATGATTTCGAATTCGCAATAATAAATTGATTGAGCTTGTTTAGATGGATTCAGTTTGATCAATAAAATCCAAATCGTTTAATTGAATTTCATCTAGTATTTTAAGATTTGGGTTAATTGCATTCAGCACCTCTGTGTTTACTCAAATTGTTAAGAAACTCCCAGTGTTTTAAATATTAGCAAAAACCTCCTATACTTCAATTTTATTCCCAAGCTTGCCCCTAAAAATGCATCATTTAAGGGGTTGTGTGCTAAAAAAACTGCATCATCTGGGGTTTTTTTGCTAATATTTATAAAATGATGACTTTTTTAGCAATTCTATATAACACGGGTGCTGAATACAAAAAACTCTTCAAGATTGATGTGGGGTTAGATTGGGACAAAAGGGGGAAAAAGAATACGGCACAAAATGGCACATTTAAACTTCAAAACATATATGCAAAATGCCAAAGGAAAAAGAAAAGACGACGACTTTAGAAACTAAGACCTCGGGGAATGTTGACGAGATTGATTGATTTGGTTATGATTAAATTGTCTATGGTATGTAATACATGATTATCTTCAATTTAGAATTTGTGATTATTTATTAGGTAAATATCCTTCTATTCAATCATATGCTTGATTATTGTTCGTCAAGTCCTATCCTAATTAACAAACGAGGCCCAAGAATATTCGAAAAAAAGATTTTATACGAGTTTCAATACCTGCTCTAGGCGAAGAAGGAGGAGACAAAAAGGTGGTTGAAGATCCAGCACGAAGTGCAGAATACAAAACAGACAGAACTGTTGTAAGCATTCCAAGTATAAGTGTGCTCGTGGAAACAACCTTTGACTTGTTGTGAAGACCATTGCACACATAGTCTCGAGGTTCGCTAGAAAGACCCGTGTAACAAACATAAGCACAGTACATCGATATCACCGAAGCTGGCAATAGGCTGCCATTCACCTGTCGAAAAATCACAAAGTCAAATAATGATTTAAGTATTTAGTCGCATCCATAGTTAGCAGAACATGAAAAGCAAAAAAAAAAAAAAAAAAAAAAAAAAAAAAAAACTTTTACCTTGGGATGTAATGCGATAATACCGAAGGAAAAGGCAAGAATGATTGTCATCACGAGGAAAAAGACGTTAAGACCACAGTCTTGACCAGAGGGATTGAACCAGATGAATAGAAGTCCAGAAAATGTAAAAGCTCCAATATAACATGATATCGACACAACAAGTAATGCAATATACCTGAAAAATTAAAGATTTAACAATTTTCGGTAAAGGTATATTTCGTCAAAATCGTGTATACACGATCAAAGAGTAAGGCAAGAAATCTTGAATCGAATTTGTATACACCTTTACCAAAATCGGAGTTGGTCGCGCCAAAAAATTGAATTTTCTTGAATTTTTGAATTTCGTCAAGATATGGAAATTTTATCAATTTTTGGTAGAGGCATACACAATTTCATCATGATTCAAGAAAATCAAGCCCACGCAAAGAAAAATAGAGAGGATAAAAAAATTACCATTTCTGGTCATCTTTAGCAACCCACGAATCATTCCACGAATGTGTGGCGTCTAACAACATTAGAACTTGGACCAATAGGAATAGCCCGGCTCCAAACTTCGAAACAACTCCTGCATACACAAACAAGTTAATTCAAGACATATATTTTCAATCAAAATACAATAGTAGAGAAACAGGGCTGACCATAAACTGATATGACGGCATTGGGAAGGAAAAACATGAGTATGATAAGCGTAGTCCAAATGACGATCTTGACAATCCATCCTTCGTGATGGAAGAAATCACGCTTGTCGTTTTGGTACTTAATACCGATCATTATGACAGCTAGGATCGCAAAGAACAAGAAATTCCCTAAGCTGACACGGAGAACTGCTTGCATTTGATACCATTCTTTCGAAAGATTGTCTGAAGTGTTTATCCCTATTACCAAATAAATCGATGACAGAGTTTTAGACTTTTAGCTACGTTAAATACTTATACCATAAACAAATCAATTAAACTCTGTATTCAACACTAAGGCTGCATTTGGATGGAAGGATTTGAAGGAGGCATTTGAAATCCATCGTAACAAATTCAACTGAGATTGTTTCGAGTCATTCGACAAGGAATATCAAACCCATAGCTCTCAGTTAAAAAAACTTGTGATGGATTTCAAATACCTTCCAATTTTTAGTGGTTTCAAATCCAACAAATTTGGACTAATTTCAAATCCTTCAATCCAAACGCATCCTACGAGTTCCACCAACAGAACATAAAAGCATAAAAAAATAAAAAAATAAAAAATTCCTGTATCCCAAAAACACCCAAAATAAAATGAAAAATTGTACAAAGGAATGAGAAATTGAGCATAAATTATTCAAATCGGCAAATAATAAAACAAAAACCTAGTTCGAAATATTTCAAGTAGAGAACCAAAAACCACCAATTATACATCTCCAAAACCATAATTCTCACTTAAAAACCTAAAAACCCTATCAATCGCTACATACATACATATATATGTGTATGATTGACTTACAGGAGAGGTGTTTAAGCACAGGTTGGGCGAATTCCCGGAGAATCCAAGAGACGATCAACGAAACACCGAAGAGGCCGCAGTATCCGATTCGAGCTGACCGCTTTGTGATTCCCGACGCCACCGATGTGCAGAGACCACATGTCAGCGACACACAGCACGAAGCCAAACACGACATCGTTTCGTCACTCTCTCTCTCTCTCTCTCTCTCTCTAGACCTGGGTGATGACGTGATCAACTGTAAGCAAAATTGAAGGGTTTGATTTATTGATCCTTGATTGCTCGCAGCTCGATCAAACGAATTTCCTATTCTGGAATAATAAATACTAGTATTACTTATTTTAATTTCAAATTTTAAAATTAAAATTCAGAAGGAAATTAATTAATTAATTTCCGAATTATCGAGTTTGGGCTTATTAGTAATTTAAACTTTAGAGTTTTGGGCTTAAAGAGTAGAAAATGTAGGAAACATTGAAAATAAAATTTGGAGTTGGGCCCAAATATTGAAAATTAAATAAAATAGATAAATAGATTTTGCATTTATGCTTTTTAGAACTATATATATATTAACAATTTATTTATTAATATACCTTTATTTTTAATGTTTAAAATTTTTGGGCATTTTCTTGTACCAATTTTCCGGGAAATGTTTGTTTCACGTGTTCGTTTTCACGTTTCGCCACCCGGGCATTTTACATGCTAAGACATTAAAGGCATAACTGATAGATGAATATAGATATAGTTCTTTTGATTAAGAAAATTAATATAAAATTAAATTATTAGTGTATAAACGTAATATTTGACTTCATATGGAAGTACTTATTTATGTAAATTAAGGAAACAATCTAATCTCACGGCCGTGTCTCTCTCTCTTATAATTTATGTATATTGCTTCAGCAAATTGCAAAGGGAATTCGAAACGACAAAAAATAATTTGCAACACAATAGAAAATTGCGAATTACAATTTGTAATACTAGTAGATTTTTTACAAACTACAATTTAACATCAATAGCACACTTTTACACACTCTCTCTCTCTCTCTCTCTCTCTCTCTCTCTCTCTCTCTCTCTCTAACACGTTCTCGTTACTAGTTTATCGCTGCCGACTCTAAATCCAACATCGGGTGAGTACAAAGAGATGTCTTAAGGGTGCAAATTCCGCACCATCGCAAACTCGAAATGAACACAAATCGACAAATTATATTGGAAAAGGAATTTAAGACACAAATAAATAAGTTTTCAATAGTAAGAAACCCCACCCCCACTCCACCCCCACCACCCCCCACCACCCCCCAAGTTTGATGTATAGTTTATCAAGCTTTCCAACTTGTTGCTACTCAAAGTGGAATATTGTGATGGAGGTGTTTCAGTTAGTCACATCTTGAATTTCAGATAAAAACTATATACTTTTATTTCAACCATTATTGTACCCTCCAATTATATCATGACTTGTAACAAATTGGACCAAGAAATCCAGGCCCCTCCACCCCCCTATATCCACCCCCACCATTTCTTGGATTTTAATTTCACCACTCAAATCTTTTTGAAAGAGGGGGTGGGGGTGGGGGTGGGGGCCGGGTGGGGTGGGTGGGGGGTGGGGGGGTGGATACTTAGAACATGCCAATGGTAGAAAACAGAACTTGTCCCAAAGTGTTACATTTATCAGAGTTTCACCATTTTTGTTTTCTTGTTATTACACAGCAACCATGTTTTATTTCCTGTTTGTTTGTCCATAAATTATATTATTTGTCGAATTTAAAAACATTTATAAATAAAAAATATAATAATTCACATTAGGAGGGCCCACGAAACAAATGATTCACAATTCACAACCACGAGATTTTTTTTTGAGCTTATATTAGCTGGATTTAATATTAACATATATATAAAATATAGGGTAAATTACAAGCACACCCTGATGTATGGTCAAATTACGAAAAAACCCTCGTGTTTGGATGATTACAACTACCCTCCTCAACTATGAATCTTCTTACCCGTCCACCCTTATGGTGTTAAATTCAACATAATATTTTAGATCCCGTGGAATATTCTCTAGTTTGTACTCGTTTTGTGCAAAAATGCAGTTTCTAATGCACCACAATCTAATATATATAAGCCAAATAACACATTTTATGATCACCTTGCTTCAAAATGTGGAGCTCAAATGGGATAAAACGGGTACAAAATTGAGAATACTACATATAATCTAAAAGATTCTACTAAATTAAAATATCGCAAGAGTGGACGTGTAAGAAGACTTATAGTTGAGGGTTGATTGTAATTATCCAAACATGAGAGATTTTTTCGTAATTTGACCACACCTCAGGGAGGTGGTTGTAATTTACACTAAAATATATAAGGTCCACTTTGATCATATTTTGCTGTTGAAGATCTTATCTTTGATTCTTTTAACCCAAAGATAAGATTATCTTGCTCCTGCCACTCTTTTTGCATGCATGAAATTTAAATTTTATTTATTTAATATAGATTTATATATATATATATATATATATAGATATATATATATATTAAATATGAATTGATCAAATAATTTTATTTTGACTTAGATAGTGATCACAAGTAAATTTTCATCAGTACTTAATACAACTAATTAGTATTATTAGCACATTTTATTTTTCTAATGTCATAAATTATTTATTTAAGAGGTTTATAATTAAAATGAGATCATTTATATAATATATAATATATATATAAATATTAAATATGGATTGATTAAATAATTATTTCGGACGAATGACTTTTTGTAGAGTTTGATAGGGCCCAAAGAAAGTTGATGGGCCTATGTATACAGGGTGAAGATAATAAGGCAATGTTTGACATCATTTTCAAAATCTTTTTCCCCTCTTCTTTTGTTTTTTAACAAAATAAATTCCTATTTTAGTTATTTATTTTTTCACCTTTTGGGACTCTAATTCTCTAATTGGGAGAATGAATAATTTGAAAACAAACATATTTCCTTTCATTTGATTTGACTGATACTGTAAAAAAAACAATATCACACTAAAAAAAAAAATAAACGAAAATTACTTTAATTTTCACATTTTTCCACAAAATTCGTAAAATTTCTGACATGATTTCACTAATACAGTGTTAGGGGTGTTCATTCTGTAAACCCGTACTGAACCGTACCGGAATTTCGATGCTTCAAAGTTTTGTACTGTTTACCGAACTGAATTAATTCGGTTTTTTCGGTTCGATCGGTTTACCAATCAAGTGAACATCCAAGAAACGTTTTTTTTTTCCGAAGCTCGAATGTAAGATACTAGCCCATAAAAGGCCAAACACAACCTAATAGTTAATTTTGAATTTGAGGGGGAAATGGGAAAAATTGTACATCCAAGAAAAGATAATGAAGTGGGGTTTGAAATGGTGATAATTAAGCTAAATTCCAAGAGTGAAGTAAAGTGAAAACAATGTTGATTGTAATTTAGATAGGGTTAATGCACGTGGTGCCATGTGTACTTTGTGTGTACATATTGTCCCTACAATATTTTTGAAAATTGGATGAATGGGATCTGAATTAGCCATTTCGGAAAAAAATGATTTTTTTTGACAATGAAAAACTAGTTCCAATTCTATTCCAAAAAAAATTGGAAATCGGAAAGGAAAAAACTTATTCCAAAATCGAAAAATTTCGGATCAAAATCGACGGAACTCGAAAATTTCCAATTTTTGCTCACCTTATACAAAATACATAATAGTATTGGTATTTTAATTGTAAAATTCGAAGAAAAAAAATCGTAATTTTTGAAATTATTTTCCGTATTTTAATCGAATGGGAAATCGAAATCTCATATATATTCCAATTTCAATTCAAATAATTTGGAAAAAATCGAAAGTCGGGATTTCGAAATTCGAATTGATAGATATTGTTCCAAAATTCGGAAAATTTCAGATCAAAATTGACGATCAGGAATTTCATTCAAATTTCCACCCTAGTTAAGAAATTTCGCAAGGGGAATTTCTTAAAAATAGAAATAAAATGGAAGGACAATTTGGATATTATATTTGACAATGACAAATAATTCCATTATATTTAATTTCATTTTTTATAAAAATAATCCGAAATATCCCAACTTTTTCCTCTTTACAAAAAGGTTTGTGCTTCTATATATATAGTATAAATAGTAAATACTATTAATAATATAATATAAGCAAAATAACATATCTATTTATGTAACTATTGGAACTGAATTTAAAGAAATAAATAAAAAATAAAAAATTACTGATTCCAAGGACCACTAAAATACTTGGAACTAGTGAACTTGCTTAAAAAAATCATCAATGGAGAACAGAAAAAAACAGCAGCAGATTGGCACAAGCATTTATTGCTAATACAATCCCAAACGGCACACTATCTCAATCTACATATATACATACAAATATTTATTTTATTTAAATTAAAAAATAAAAAAATTAAGAAACACACACACACACACACACACTAGCTTCCAAATTGCACCCTGAAAATCAGGGCTTTTGTAAAAAAAATCCATTTCCCAGTGCATCATGTTAAAGACAAACAAATAAGAATAAAATTCTTGATCAAAATAAAAAAATTAAAAGTTTGGCAGGGGAGACAAAACTTTGATGACTCTGCAATTTTTCATCCGTGGGACCCACTTCAACAATTGTCCAACCACAGGCTGCCACCTGTCAGCCAACATTATCAGCACCCCCTCTCTATATATATATATTTGATACACATATTTTTGCTCCACCATTGTCATATGATCATATATTCTTGAAAATCAAAACTCAAAAGCTGCATTTGTGCATAAGTTTCTTGAAATCAAGAATTCAGGCAGGATTTTTCTTTTTCTTTCTTTTTTTTTTTTTTTGTTTGTTTTTTTAATAATGGGACAGAAGAAGAAGCTTCAGCCATGGCAGAAGTGCTCGCGTTACATTCAAGAGCAAAGAACTCGTCTTTACATCGTGTGGAAGTGTTCCGTAATTCTTATACGATGGAAAACCGAAGGCGTAAGTATCGACGACTGAGGACGCCGGAAAGGGCACGAAGAAAAAGTCGATCTTTTTTATCGGACAATTTTCGCATGATGCCAGATAAGAGTTTGTGTCTGTACAAGATTTTGGCTGAGCTGAGGAATTCTTGTCTGTGCAATCCAATGTGTGCAAACAGGTTTGAAACTGAGAGAAGTAGTCAAAGTGTTAATATTCACTTAGTATGCAGAGTTAGTGTACATTAACTAAGAGAATTAGCAATCTGAATTGTTTGCAATTCTATAACGATCTCGTAGATATATGCTACATCCGGTGAAATATATACCGGGCAATTTTCGACTTTTTTTTTTAATTTACACACAATCACACACATATACATGTGGATGTGTGTAAAATATATTGTATGGTGTAGCATAGAATTGTTTTTAGCAATTAGTGCCCATGTGTAGGGGGTTGTGTGCTAAAAAAAAACTGAATCATATGGGGGAGGGGTTGACGATAAAATAACATGAGGTAGTTTTAGTAAATCGATATAACATAGGGGTACTAATTGCAATAAACCATAAATAAGTTTAATTAATTCAGAATTTCTATTTATAAGAGAAATCCAGCTATTTATAAGATGAATCCAGCTAGACGTTCGTTTCGATATTCGAACTCTTCGAATACATTTTTTGAGATTAAAAAACGTAACGAGAGGTTGATCAAACTAGCACAAACATTTCACGAAAGTTCAACGAAGAGGCACGTCTGTATTATAACAAAAAAAATAAATCTCGAACAAATGTTACAAAATCGAATATTATACGACACTCGTAATTCCAGTTTGGACCATCCACTATTTGCACTAGGATCGCTCTTCGTTTCCTCGCCAAAATTATATAACAAACAATAGAGCATTATAAAAAATGGAAGTCTTCGTTCATCGTTTGTTATTATATATAGCTCACCAACTTTTACTTCGCAATCTTTGCAGAAGTAATGTCGTCCTCACCCGATTTCTTGGGAGTTAGTCCTTGCTTAGTTTGGACTCCCTGCGTAAAATTCAAGATAGTATATATTTTTTATTTTTTTAAAGGAAATTCAACAAAATATTCCGGTTTTACCCCGAGCATCAGAGTAATTTACTTACAACTCCTTTCTGGACAGTTAACCTCCGACTAGATGGGGCCCGTGCAACCGATGAAGCTGCTGCAGCTGCTGCCACGCGTATCCTACACCACGAAAGATTCTTATATATTTTTTTTTTATTTAAGAAAAAAAAAAAGTATCCCAAGCCTCTGAGTACCTTTTATGTACATCAACAAATTCATCCGTCTCATCAACAATTTCCTCCTGCATTGAACACGATTTTTTTTTTAAACAAAAAAATACATTTTTCATAATCTATCGGTGAAAACAATAATTTTTTAACCTGCAAAAGCTCTTCAAATACATCTTCCAAGGTGATAATACCGATAACTTCACCGTCTTCATGGACGTCCGACGAACGTGGGACCCGGTCAACGTCGATAACAACGTTGTCTTCTTTATTCGACAGTAAAGGTGTAGTTATGTCTGAATTTACGTTTGTACCCTCGGATTTCTCCTCAATAGGAGGCGGCATTCTGTTTCTCGGTTTGGGCTTTACTACAGCTGCCATATGACTGCTGCCTTTTTGAAACTCGTTTAGTATGTCGTAGAGTGGCATATCTGCAGGGACACTGCCAATAAACTGTTTTATATATATACGTATACGTATATGAAATACGATACATTTGTATTTCAAGAATTGAATGATACATGTATACAGATACAGATATACCGTGGGATTCTTCGGATAGAAACGGCACTCACGGGAGTCTCTGTTTCGGCTCTAACTGTGAGAAGGCTCTTTACCTAATGGAATAATGTTTCGAAAGGTTACATGTTTTTTTTGTTTCATGTAGAGTGAAAATGTATATATGGTTTAGTGAAGTTTTATTACCAGTAAAAGTCCGATAATGTTCCTCGGATTTCCAGCATAGACAGGAACTCGACTGTGACCACGAGCAAGAATCTTACCCATCGCTTCCCTGAATCAAAGGAAAAAAAATTTATATATATATATATATATATATATATATATATATATATATATATATATATATATATATATATATACTTATAGTGGTGTTCGTATACATATTCGTTTGGTTAAACCAAAAAAAAAAAAGAAAAACCGAAGCAGCATAATTCGTACCAGTCTAACTTTGAATTGACATCCAAGGAAAATGTGGACTCGATTGGAGTCATGGCCTCCTCAGCAGTCTGTTTTACAGTTGTATTAATTATTAATTGATATTTCATAAAATAGCAAATCAAATTTATTCGAGGAAATTAGGATTCTTCTTGGACGAGCACGGAAAATAGCTGACAGTGTTGATTATCTTATCGTACGACTAGTGAAGATTCATTACAGGAACTAAGAAAATTTAAGGATGTAATAATCTACATTCCATGTTTCGCATCTTCGGAGAAGATTTCGAATGCCAAAGTCAAACGTACACCAATTATCCAAATATCCAAATAGACGAGGAAAAAAACAAAGTCGTGTTTTCAACTATACCTTCTCTGTTAAATCCAACGCGCCACTAATAATTGTTGTCTCGTCATGCGTGAGTTCACCACCTTTGCCAGCCTATAGATAAAATCACCGATTAATATGTAACAAAAAATAAATAAATAAAATTAATAAAATTACCTCCTGGCCGTGAATGGAGACAAGAGCCTTGAGCTGAGCTCGTCTAAACAGTGCCTCGTTATGCCCCAGTACATAATCCAATATCTGAATTCAATTAGAAAAATATATATACTCAATTATTTACTTTTTTTAATCTAATTTCACAAACATTACTATTCCGAAAGTATAAATTACCTTTCCAATTGGATAAGAAATAGGGTAGGATATAATCATCAGAATTCGAACGAGCCAAACTAAGTTTGCACCTACAGCAAGTCCATATCGAGTGCATATGGCTTGAGGAATAACCTGTAATTCAATGTAAAATTAAAAAGAGAATGAATCACTAAATCAAAACTAACTTTTAACTTTTAAGTATAAAATGATCAATTCTCGAGTCGAAATAATGATGAAAAAATACCTCTCCGAAAAATAGGACAAACGTAACAGACAGTATAATGGCAACATATTGATTGAATATCCTGTCGAGGTATATCGGAAGTGCCTGCAAGATGCAAAACCGATTTCAGAAGTTACGTTTCGACCCTATTTAATTTAAGTTTCGTTAATAAATTCTGAAGACAAAAAAAATGTCACCTCCATAGCGGCAGCATTGAATAAAAGCAGTGTCACAAGAAGCTGGTGCTGCTTCTGAACCACCGGGAATATTGAGGCTGAAAAAAAAATTATTAAACGGGGGTGACGATTACACAAAAACTAACGAGAAACAACTGTTCTGAAAATTCTCGATTCTGAAAAAACAATTCACGGTTATTTCGATATCGTCAGAATCCCAACCAATCAGAAGCACCGTAGAATCAATCACAAATTAAACAGAAACCACACTGTTCGATGTCATTATCGCAAATAGCATATAAATAACCGATAAAACGTTAGACACTCAATTTTCAACTAAGCCATCAAAGTATAATCGACTTCGATTGAGAAAACTATTTTTTGCAATTTGAATCCAATCTATATTCAGAACCACGAAAGTCGAAAAGTGGTAAGGATAAAGTATAATATGTCACACCACACCTACAATTCCAGTTCGAATTTCTGATTAAAAATGAAATTACAGAAAATTCAATCAAAAGTTCGGAATTAAAAAAAAATGAAATTAATAATTGGAAAATAAAAATAAAAAATCAATCATTATCCAATTATCATCACAAACACAAATCTGATCGGAAAAAAGGAAACAGTTCTCCACATGATTAGATCAACAATTCAACAGCAAAATCAAACAGCAGATGTATCAAATTAAATGTTTGGGCAGAAAAATTGGACCGACCGGCCTGCTTCTTCTCCGACGGGGTGCCGCTGCGCTGGAGGATCTCGAGGTCGACGAGGCCCAATGACATAAGGCCAAGTGTCAATCCCGACATTATTCCGGCGAACAGCACCAGCGCGCACGAAATTCCGGCGTAGACGAACCACCAGACCGTACCGAATTCAATCTCCGTACCTAGTCCGACGGCGCCGCCGCTGTTCCTGATCGCGACGGACAACAACGCCACCGCATTGAACGGGTGCATGGTTGATTTATCTCCTCCGTTTGAATCTTCTGCAATTGTACTGTACGTGTGTGTGTGTAAAAG